GTCAAAGAGAATGCTTAGTAGCAGATTGATAGGCTACTGAAGCAAAGGTTCCCATGTGAAGCATAATTGAACCCCGAATGGAAGCCAGCAAGATTATGAAAGATTTATCACTGGGTTAGCCATGACTTAGTGCTTGCACTGGGCTACTAACTGTAAGGTCCACCAACGTCTGTGCAGGATAACGAAGAGGCTTTCTACTCCCGGGAAGAGTTACAATTTTGGAAACCCGAAAGGACAGTTCAATGCTATCGCCTACGGTAGACACGGGTTGGGATGGACATAATGGCAGAGAGCAGTGAGTATGACTGGGCCAGGTCTCCCACCATTTATGAGGGAGAGATTGTTGAGGATCTTCGGAGGAAGAATTTATTTTGAAAATGTACTTTATTTTTGTTACTGTTGAGAATATGGGGTAATAATATACCAATTCAAGAATTTCTACATGCACAATTCAGTAACATGGATTGCATTCATTGTAAATTCTCCTTTTCTTTTTACTCTTTTTTTTTGTATAGTTGGCTGCCATCCACAGGGACCTATGCACAACAGAATGAAACACTGCCCCGTCTTGCACCATTCTCACAATTGAAGCCACTGTTTCAATTTGACCTTCCTCTTTTTTGCTGCCCCTCCACTTGACCCAACATGATGTCCTTTACCAGGGTCTGGTCTCTCCTGACAACATGTCCAAAGTCTCGTCAATCTTGCATTTAGGAAGGCCTCTGGCTTGACCTCTTGCAGGACAGATTTGTTTGTCCTTTGGGCTTTCCAGGGTACTTATAATATTCTTCTCCAGCACCACAGTCAAATGCATCCATTCTTCTTTGTCTTCTTTATTCAATGTCTAACTTCCACATGTAGATGAGGCAATTGAAAATACCATAGCTTGGGTCAGGCACACCTTAGTCCTCAAAGTAATAACCTTGCTTTTCAACACTCAAAGAGGTCTTTCACAACAGGTTTACCTAATGTAAGTGTCATTTGATCTTTTCGATGCCACTTCTATGAGCATTGATTATGGAGTCAAGCAAGACAAAATCTTTGACAACTTTAATCTTTTCTGCCTGTATCATGATGTTACTTCTTGGTCCAGTTGTGAAGATTTTTGATCTTTGCATTGAGGTATAATCCATATCAAATACTGAAATCATTGATCTGCATCAGTACAAACTTTGTCCTTTCAAAGTTCTAATTATTAGTGGATTTTTGTAGCTATTTCTTCTACTTTGATTTGTGTTCCATGAATAAATGACAATCCTGACGGGTTCACTCCCACAGGCTTTGTTGAGTTCATGTCACCATGGTGGACTCTACTTTGAGAAAAAAGCTCCTCCTCAGTCACATTTGAATGTCTTGTGACCCTGGGGGCCTATCTTCTGGCACTGTCTCAGACAAATTTCTGCTTCCATTCATTTGCCCTTCAATATCTGACAATGTTTCCATGCCATGGATAAGGCTTTTAGCAGCTACTTCCTCTGAAGTAGGCAACTGATTCCTTCTTTATTTTTTGCAGTCTGAAAAACTCTTTTGGCATTTGAAATACCAGTGACATAGCTCCTAGCAGCACAGCACACAAGCCACCACAGTAGGAAAACGGACAGAGAACTGGTGGCAATGAACATACATGTACATATATCTGTTTGTGTCCTGTCTCTTACTTATGAAATTTCTATTCCCAGTTGTTTGAGGTGCTTCCATATGGTTTCCCACAGTATTTTCACATTTTTTTCAGTTCTACAAGCAGTGCATTAAGGTTCCATAGTCTCAGTACCTCTATAGCATTCGCTATTTTCATTTTTTTGAATTTTGTTTTCATTATCACAGGAATGTCCAATCTTATCATTGTTTTGATTTTCATCTGTTGCATAGCTAGTGATTGTGCACATTTCTCTATGTGTTGGTCATTTGGATATCACCTTTCGTGAGCTGCCTATTCATGTCCTTTGCCTATTTTAAAAATTGTATTATTCATGTTTTTGTTTGAATTTTCTATAGTTTAGAGATTTGTCTTTTCTATTATGTTGTAAAAATGTTTTTCCCCACTTTTCATTCTCTTTTCATTTTTTTAAAAAATTAAGTCTTTTGAAAAACATGGATGACTTATTTTTAGTACATCCAATTCTTCTTTTTTGTCTTCTACTACGTGTGTTATCTCCCTTATGTTTGATACTGTGTCTACGACCAGCAGTAAGTCCCTAAGTTTGTCCCTATTTTCTCACGGATTGTCTCTATAACTCTTGTATGTACATGTAGGTCTTGGATCTAGCTAGATTTCAGTCTTGTACATGGGTTGAAGGAGATTCAATTTGGCCAGCATCATTTGTTGATGAGACTATGACCTTTTGCCAAAGATCAGTTTTCGGTACGAGGGTGAATTTATTTCTGGGTTTTCAAAACTGTTCCATTGTTCCATATATCTATTATTGCACAAATCCAATGGGCAATTTTTAGTCCTCATATTGTTTTACCATTGTAGTGAAGTGAAATTCTTCATATGACTTATCCATGTTTATTAAACTCCCACCAAATGACTGTGTGGAACTATGTAAACAGGGTATGTGTAAAACTAATCGAGAGGATTGGTCATTTTTATTTGCCACTCTCCTGGCTGTAAGCATGAACCATCTCAGAGACAGAAACAGAGAATTTCAGGGCCATCAAGGAAGAAGAGCCATTCGTGGAGCACATGATATCTGTCTGAAGCGGCAGAGACTAAGAACAGAGACAGCCACGGCTGTGGCATGGAGAACCTGGGGTAGAAGAAGGATCTGGTGAATATTAGAGGCTAAGGCAGTGACACCATGAGACAGAGCAGAAGAAAAGGAATGAGATGATGAAACGATGAGGCAGAACAGCAGGCTGGCTTCCTAGCTCACAGAGGCCGAGGCCCTGGGACCATGGGAAGTGAGGGCTAGACAGAAAGTTGGCTGCTGACTAAGGAGAGGTGCTTTTGTGAACAAATGACTATATCTTTAATATTTTCTCATCCTGGCTTGTGATAACCCGATCATTTCCCACAAATATTTGGGAATTGTCTGTCAGTTTGCTGTGCTATGGTGGCTTGTGTGGTGCTGTGATGCTGGAAGCTATATCACTGCTGTTTCAAATGCCAGCAGGGTCATCTGAAATGAACAGGTTTCAGCAGAACTCCCAGACTAAGAGCAGACAATGAAGAACTCATTTGCACTCTTCAGAAGAAGCAGTTGCTGAAAACCTCATCAATAGCATGGAAGCATTGTCAGATACTGAAGGCTTAATAAATGGAAGCAGAATACTGTCAAAGATAGTCCCCAAAGGATGGGCCCCTCAGGTCACAAGGCCATCCACATGGGGCTGAGGAGCAGCTGCTGTCTTGGGGTGGAGGCAGCCACGGCGGTGTGAGGATGTAGGAATGGAGCCATGAGGATCCTTATTTGATGATGAGGCACTCCTCCAGGTAAGGAGGGTCCGCTGCCGCAATGTGCTGAATATAGGTACTTGGAATGTGAAAAGTATGAACTAGGGAAATTGGAAGTCATCAAAAATCGAGTGGAACTCCTAAACATCAGTGAACTGATTAGTGAACTTAAATCCGTATCGGCCATTTTGAATCAGAAAAATCGCGACTTACAATGGTGGGAATGACATAATCAGAAGAACGGCTTGGCATTAACTGTCAAAAAGGATGTTGTAAAACCAGTCTCCAAGTACAGTGCTGCCTGTGGTAGGATTATGCTATCCACCTCCAAGTAAATCCAAATCAGTACAACTATTTATTCACATTCATGCACCCACCACAAAAGCTAGCGATCTGAAATTGACCAAATGTGCAATCAAGGTGCATTAATAATTATTGGCAATTGGAAGGCAAACGTTGAAAACAAAGAAGAAGGAACAGTAGTCTTGGTGATAGAAATTAAATCAGAGGTCACATGATAAAAATTTGCAAAACCAACAACTTGTTCATAGGAAATACCTTTTTTCAGCAACACACAAGGTTGACATACACGTGGACTTCTCCAGATGGAATATGCAGATATCAAATTGACTACATCTGTGGGAAGAGATGATGGAAAAGTTCAATATCAGCAGCTAAAACCAGTCCAGGGGCTGACTATGAAGCAGACCACAAAGTACATGCTTAGCATATCTTAAATTAAAAGAGCTGAAGAAAAATTTCAAGACTTGAGCTACTATTGAACAATTTGATGGGCAAAATATTGAATGATGCAGGGATGCATTGAGAGAAGATGGAAAGAATATACAGAGTTACTGTAGCAAAAATAACTGGAGGTAACATATGCTCAAGAACCAATGGTACTGAAGGAAGAAGTTCAAGCTGTACTGAAAGCATTCGCCTAACACAAGGCTCCACGAATTGATGGAATAGCAAATGAAATGTTTCAATAGGTTGATGAAACACTGGAAGTATTTATTTATGTCAGGAAATGTGGAAGACAGCCACTTGGTCAACTGACTGGAAGAGACCCATATTCGTGCCCATTACAAAGAAAGGTGACCCAACAGAATGTTCAAATTATATGAGGAAGCATGTGGCTTCATAACTGGGGGAAGGCTTATTAACAACCTGCAGTATGCGGGTTACTTATTGAAAGTGAAGAAGCCTTGGAGCCCTTGCTGATGAATATCAAGTATTAAAGCCTTCAAAATGGTCATAACTGGACCAGTAGATGACATCATGATAGATGGAGAAAAGGTTGACGTTGTCAAAAATTTTGTCTTTCCTGGAGCCATAGTCAATGTTCATGGAAGCAGCCGTCAAGAGATCAAAATTTGAGTTGCATGGGATAAATCTTTTGCACAAGACTTCTTCAGTGTGTTGAAAAGGAAGGATGTTACTTTGAGGAGTAAGGAGTGCCTCACCCGAGACATGGTATTTTCAATAGCCCGATATGCATGTGAAAGTTGGACATTGAATAAAGAAGACCAAAGAAGAATCAATGCATTTGAATTGCGGTGCTGGTGAAGAATATTAAAAGTATCATGGACCTCCCTTTCTTGTGCCCTTGTAAGGTTGTTGCAGTACTTTAAGAGGTGAACACAGAAAGGCAAAACGAGTTTCCATAAAACCCAGAGATGAGGTCACCATAACTCCTCTTTGGATCCTGTCTGGAGTCACAACTGAATAAAAAAGTATCATGGCTGCTAAAAGGACAAATTAATCTGTCTTGGGAAAAGGCGTTGTCTTCCATTCTTTGGACATGTTATCAGGAGAGGCTGTCTCTGGTAAAGGACATTATTCTTGGTAGAGTAGGGAGGCAACAAACAAGAGGAAGGCCTTCAAGGAGATGGATTTACAGTGGCTACGATGAGGGGTCAAACATACGAATAATTATTTGTGAGGATGGTACAGGGTCTGCCAATATTTTTTTCTGTTGTACATAGGGCCACTATGGGTCAGAACCAACCTGATGGCACCTACAACATTATCAAATCTCAGGTACAGATCAAAATATGCATTAATGACCAAAGTTGGCAGAATCATGACTCCCAAAGATGCCCATGTTATAATCTTGAGAATCCGTGAATTTGTTACTGTTCTTCATAAAAGTAACTGACCATGGTGTAACTGACAGTTGGCAACTTATGTTTATGAACTTTGAGATTGGAATATCCAGGTGGAACTTACTTAATCAGATGGGCATTTACAGATAGAAGAGAAAGTTAGAAATGTGGATCAGAGATATGTAGACTTAGAAGAATATGCAGACTTGGAAGAACATCCTGGTAGTGCCTTTGAAGAAGGAGGAAGGTGGACATGAATCAATGAATGCAAAAGCCCTTAAAAAGTGAGAAAACCCTTCCATTTACCATTCCCAAGAAAAAGGTACTTTGGTCCTAAACTGTGAGGAAATGAATTCTTCAAACAATTCAAATGGAAGCCAAACATTCTCCACTGCAGCCTATTCACTAGATTCTCCACTAGAGCCTTTAGTACATAGGCCATCGGGCTTACAAAACTGTAGCATGAGAAATGTGCCTTTCAAGCAGGAGCATTGAATAGGTGCATTCCACGTCAGCCAGATACACTTAAAGAGAATCTACATATTAACAAAATTCCCAAGCAATTCTTATAGATACCCAGGGACCTTTTTCTGTATAATGTAGATTTTGATTCAGTATATCTGAGAAAGAAAAGAAAATTCTCAGCCTGGGGTCGAATCACACCAGTCTGAAGCCCTAGTTTTAAAGCACTGAGTTTGTGGTAATTTGTTACAACCCCAGCAAGACATGAACATAATCTCCATTATCATTCTTCACCAAGCCAGGATTTTCTCTCACCTGCAAGGTTTTTGTTGTTGTTATTTGCCATTGAGTTGATTAATTACTCTGGTTATTTTCTGGAGTAGGGCAATTAGGAGAGGTAGTCTCCCTTGCAGTGTACTAATTGCTTGCACTCCATAAAAGAATGAAGTGATATTTTGGAACACAATTCAGGTCATGTCTTTCTCATACTCGGAAGGCTTCAAAGTCCCACATTTTTATCATCATCCACATGTCTGTATATGATATATGTATATGGTCTGATACCCATATAACTTTACGATCTGAACTTCTTCCAGTTTTCTTCTCCTTCATTATCATGCCAACCACTCTGGTCTTTTTTGCAGTTTCTAAAAAACATTGAGCTCATTCGGCCTCAGGGCTTTTACCTTTTCAGTGAGTTTCCCCTTGAACATTTACTCTGTCCCCAGACACTAACCAGGTTTACATTCTTGTTTAATTTCGGTCACTGCAGGACTTGCCCATCATATCGAAAATAACCAATTGTGTTACTTTTGATAAAATCATATTTGAAATTAATAAATCTGGAAAAAATCGCTTGGTCTTGAATCAGCGCTGACTCCTGATGACCTCATGTGTATCAGAGTAGAACTGTGTGTCACAGAATTTTCAGTGGCTTATATTTTGGGAACTAGATCACCAGATCTTTCTTTTGAGGTGCCTCTGGGTATACTTGAACCTCCAACCTTTCAGTTTGGGACTGAGCAAGTTAACTGCACCAGAGACTTTGTTCCTACCACTTGAAAATAAGCTTCATGTAGGCACATACACAAATCCATGTGCGTGTGTATGCACAAAATCACGTGTATTCCTGACTAGAACAGGTCTTGTCATGTATGTATTGGGGTCTCAATACCTATTTTGCTGACTAAGTCAGTGAAGGGCAGGGTGTGGCAAGGGCATCTGAGTCTCCAATCAAACGAACACATCTTTTCCAGGCCCAGAGTGCTTGGGGAGGGAATGGAGTGAGGTCTTCCGTATTTTCTAAATGACTACTTCTTTACTTGATCAGGCTAAATAAGGCACCCATCGGCACAGTGAATGAAGGGTCTCTATACAGGGATGGGAGGAAGTGGACTGGACTGGGTTCCCCTGATACCCAGGGCAACTCAAAAAGAAGAAGCATCTGACAGGGCTGCGGCGGTGCCGACTCTGGCTTCGGAACTCAAGAGGTGCAAGAGTGCACTGCGTTTTCGCTTGCTCCTTTGGTCTTCTGCTAAACCCACGTAGTTCTGGAGTATAACGGGGACTGGACGAAAGTTCTCGTTTCCTGCTGCCCACAAAGTGAGCTGGCACCCTGTGCTCACACCCTGGAGAACAGGTCTGATGAAGTCATGCACCTCGCATCGCTCATGTCTGATGGTGGTATCTCTGAAGCTCTGACACATTGCCTTCACAGGGCGTGTGATGCTAACAAAATTACTCATTCACCAAATAGCCCCTGTTTTTTAGGGAGGAGACTCCAGCAGGTATGTCCTTGGGTCTGTGTGAACAGCAGAACTCCTTAATCTCTCCATCCACTTCCATTCATCCATATTTCAAGATGCACACTGGACAGCAGGACTTAGGCTTCCACCACTTTCTCAGTTTCTATCATGAGTTTTTGCGTAGTTTTATCCAAACATTTTCCCTATGGTTACAAAGCAGTAATTTTCTTTCATTTACCTATTTTATTTTTAAAATATTTGCTTTGTCTGTATTGAGTCCCTCTTCTAAATGAAGTAGGGTAAATGGAGGGCATGGATTCAATCTGTAGCAATGGACAACTCAGGAGTCATGCTGAGCTGCACTGAAGACATGCCTCACAATTACCCTAACATGTACTGGAGCTTTCTGTGTGTCAGGCATTGTGGTAGTTACATAATCTGGTGTCAATTTGAGGATTAAGAGTATTGGGGTGGAGTCTAGCCTGTCAATCAGGGTACAGCCAATGAGGCCTCTGTGTGGTCATGGCCTTCTCCTAAGGATTCTGGGAACTGCTGTATTTCTTTCTTGGAGGAGGGAGAAATAAACTCTCTCTGCTTACTTCCTTGGGCGACTATCTACTAATAAGACTCACTCCCTGCAAGACATTTCTGAGAAGAAGCCACATGAAGCTACCCTGAGGCAGTCAGAGTTTCAGAACTGAAGGAACCACGTGGTCAGCGCTGCGATGCTTACAACACCACTGGATCCACAAGACTTCTAACCCACTGGCCTGTGATCTTTCTGCATTTGGCATCAATGCATGTTTCGTGAGTCTGAAGAGGACTTTATAGATTGGTATCGGACATATGGGCTTATATTGGACTTCTTAACATTGTTATCTCAATGTTCAATTGCTCTTGTATATAAACCTCTTTCTTACACACCTATGAGGGTCTATGAATTTGTTTCTCTAGTCTGCCCAGACTAACACAGGCATAGTGATAAGAACGGTACTTTTTATGCACAAACCTGTCTCTTCTCTCTGTACCTCTTTCATTCCAGCTGCTGCCCTCTTCACATCACTGAGTCGAACTGCTGTCAAGTTCACCAATGAACATCATCTTCTCTAGATACAAGAGAACTGTTTGGGTTCCCTTAGTAGTTCTCTTAGCAACCTTTTATCTAGTCAACCATTTTCTTCTGAAACACTTCTTTGGCCCCAGTGTTGCCTCATTCTTTTGATTTTCCTCCTACCTTAAAGTGCCTTCTTTATTGCTTATTTTACTGGATCACATGTGGTGTTTCAGGTGTTAGATAGCTAACTGAATGGTTGGTAGTTCAAACCCACCAGCTGTCCTGTGGCTGAAAGTTAAGCCTTTCTACTCCTGTAAATATTTACAGCCTCAGAAATCCTCTGCAGAGTAGCTATGAGTTGGAATCAACTCCATGACAGTGTTATCGCATCGTTCTGTTTTATTTTGTAGGTTGTTTGACTGAGAGGTGATTGTGGTAGTACATAATTTCATGTCAACTTGGAGATATATAAAAGTGTAGGAGAGGAGTTTAGCCTGTCAATCAGGTCACAGTCTAATGGTAACTCCTTGTGGGCGTGGTCTTCTCATAAGGAGAGGCTTGAGACCCTCCCCTCCCTCTTTGCCTTCACCTTCCTTCTGGCTGACCCTGGTTGCTGCCAGAGCCCTGGAGATAAGTTCACTATCATTGGCTCCACACGCCTTTGAAACAACTGGCCTGTGTTCTTGCATTCATTCTGCATCATTGTATGTGGCTTGTGAGTTTGAAGAGGGATTCATGAACTAGTATTGGACTTAGGACTTGAGTTGGACTGGGCTGGGATGTTTTCTCCATAAGTAATTACATCTTGATATAAAGCTTTTACATGTAAACATCACTGGATTTGTTAGTTAACCCGGCCTACAACAGTGATTTGGGGGGTGGGTTAACCGCCAGTTATAAAAGGTATTTAAAGGAATAAACTTGGTAGTTCCTCCAGTTTCTGTCAGACTAGGAAATATTATCTTTTTTATGGTTTTGAATTCTGTTTTACATTTTTTCTCCTATTCTGTCCCAGACCTTCAGTAGTCCCAATCTGAGATGTTAGTAGTAGAAGATGGAAGATAGCTTTCATTTCATTAGTAGTGGAAGATGGCGTCTCTTCTTAGGACTATGTTTCTCACGGTCAATTAATCCCTTGGACTAAATGCTTCCTTGAGTCATTGCTTTTCTTCATCCTTCTTTCCTCTAGATGGCCACATGCTAGCTTTTAAGTCCCCAGTCACTACCCACTACAGTAGAATGTATAGCGTCTTTATGAACTGTGTTATGCCAATTGACTTAGCTGTTGCCAGAGATTGTGGTCCTAAGCCTCAAATCTAGTTACTCATTCCCACGAGGTGTTTGGCTGTGACTAAGA